TATGAAATGCTATACTGGGAAAAGGGAGTTTATTGTTAGCGTGGGTTTCCACCACAGTTCCTGAACACTTAGCTAGATGGATTTTTTTTTTTTTTTTTGCCTAATTAAAAGAGGATGCCACAAATAAAAGAAGCCACAATGTGAAACTTAAAGCAACCAGTATTCAAATACGGTACCAGCTATGTTGTCGTAACAGCATTTTTCAGTAATGTTTTTCTTGTACTTGTTAAGCAAGCAAGTTCCCTCTCTGAGATGTATCCAGCGTGTCTTTTGGCCCATAAAAATAAGGAGTCGACATTTACAATTATAATTGCAGCAGAGCTTACTGAAGTATGACAGCACTGCTTGCTTGCTCCCTACAGAAGGGAAAGCAGCAGGCAACATTACTGCGTTTGTGGCAAGCAGCAAGCGCTCTTCTGAACTGAACACCTTTACGTCATGGGAAGATACCAAGTGTTTTGCATGTAGATACCCTTGATAAAGGCATTGCACAATGAGGATCATCTCACGTACATCTCCCAGTCATTAAAATGACTCACTGTTGCATTCAGCAGCATCTCAGATATTACATTGCCAGCCAGAGCCCGCTGTCCTTGCAATCTGTATCCAAGGTTACCGTATTTTCTACAGTGCATTGTAACAGACCACGTTCCCCTGCTTCCTTTGCATACAGGCTAACGGACGCGCTGCCTTTCGCTTTGGTCGTGGTGGATTTCATAAATGTAACTCCTTTTTTTGCATGTATGCTTTCACTAGAAAAGAGAAACGGTATTTTCTTTTTTTTTTTAATGTATGTGTTCTCTGGAGCTGCCTTGGGGTTACCTATGGAAAGTGATTTTTTTATATATTTGCATATATTTGGAATTCTAAGAGATTATTCGCTTGGGTATTTAATATATATCTTGCTTTACCCAGCTGTATTCCTGGTGCTCCTGTGCTGTCCTCGCGGGTCGCAGTTTTCCCTTGGCGGCGGGAATGCTGGGGAGCCAACGGGCTGCTCCAGCCCCCCAGGCCCCCGGTTTTGCTTTGCCCATCTCCCCGGGCTTCTGCCCCGTTTTGCCTGTAGCACCTTGGAGGTTGGTTGTGACGTGGGAATTGTTAACGTTCTGCACTTGACCATTCCCCCAACTTTTCCTCTCTGGCAGCGGCTTCTCTTCACCTGGGTTTGTTTTGAGCAGCTCCTCGCTTGACGTTCGTACAGTATCTATGAAGCGATGGTGGAGCTCAACCTAAGGTTGAGAAGAAGCTCATGAAAACCCAGGGAACGCTCTGATTTCTAGTTAGCTACATGTCAAATGAATTCAACTTGAAACAGAACCCGCCTTTTCAATAAAAGCTGCTATCGTACAAACTACTTTTTCTGAAACTTTTTTTGTGTGTGTTCTCTGGACCTGTATTTGATTCCAGTCATCAATATTAAAATATAAATGTCATGATTTTATGAAGAAAAGTGGTCGGAAAACTTCTCTTTATATTGTGATTCTTTATTCTGCCCTCTGGGCGAATGTTATTTCTCTTCTAGAAGCGGTTTTGCAATTAGTAGTTGTGCTGTGCTGGAGTCACTGCTGGTAGGTTAAATCCAATGAGAATAAGTGATATTAATTGACTTCAGTACATTGTTTACTCCCTTAATTCTTGCAATGATTTATCAATCCTTTGTTGAGATTCAAACCTTGTATTCAATAAAGAGCTCATTTCATATCTGACCAGCCTGTGAAGTGGCTTGTTCCAGGATGCAGCTAGAAAAAAAAACACGGTGGTTTTTGCTGCTTGCCGGTACCCCAAGGTTGTCACCGCCGGCAGGAGCTCCACGGGCACTGCCCTGCGGCGGCTCCTCCACAGAAGTACGTGGGCAGGGTGAGATCTTCCCAGGAGAGGCCTTGAAAGGCTGACAAAAAGGGTCTTAAACATCATGTGAAGCTGTATTAAGTGAAACCGTCTTTGTGGCTAGTATTTGAAAGATGTCTCACCCAGTAACATATAAAATATTCTTCAGGCAATTAAGGTATCGACCCTTTGGAAAAGCCCGCGGGGAGCGGGAAGAGCGACCTTCCCCTGAGCTCCAGCTGGTGTGCGAACAGCAATCTGGAGTCGGACTCCGGCTCCACCTCTGCTTGGGTTCCTCTAGATTTGAGGATGCGTGAAAAACGGGATTTTGAGGGGGGAAAAACGCTCATGTAAACTATCTTTGGTTGGAATGAACACGAGAGGAACTTTTGCAAAGAAATACCTGCGAGTGTTCACACCGTTGCACTTCTCCGTAGTGTAATCTTTAATGGGTATTTCAGGTGCGTTGTTTATTCCCTAATGTGCTTTATTAGGCAGTTACGGTTTTTATAGGTCTAACTTGCCCTTTTGTTTAAAAGTCAGTCTTGATGCTTTCTTGGCTGAACGTCAGCATCTTCCCCTCCCCTAGGTACGAGGGCAGTGTGTGCATAAGGTCTATGTAAGTATTCAAAGCGGAGAATTTTTACCTTCCAGTTTTTATGTAGAAAATACTGTTAAATTATACATAGTCCATCTTTTAGGTAAAGTTTAATTTTGCAAGCACATTTCAGTTTTTAGTATTTTTTTCCCTTTGAAATGTCATGCTTTCGGAATGTCTCCAGACTAATGGTTAGTCTTGATTTTTTTTAATCTCTAGTTCCTTTTCTTACACCATTTCCCTGGTTGCAGTTTTAACTCATGATAAAAAGAGAGAGATGAGTGGAATGTATTTTTTTTAACCGGACAGTCAGTCTCCCCTGTCTGTCTGTCACTGAAATGGGGACACAACCATGAAACCTGAACTGCACGCGGCTGAGGGCAAAACTCACTTTTATTTTATTTAGTGGGCCAAAACTTGATTCTTGCTCAGCTGCAGAAGCAGGAGGAATCTCCCTCTGCCAGCGCCGGGCCGTGCTTTGTGCTCGTGACACCGAAGGATGCCAAGATCCATGTGTCGATATTGTTGGAAAAACTGGTGTGGAAGTCTCTGGGGGGTTTTGTGTGCAGTTTTGTCCAAGTGCATCCCGGAAAATGGATAAAAGAGGGGTTTGCAGGGGGGATGGGGGGGAATGTATATGTGCGTGGGGGAAACTTTTTGGCTTTGGATGCCCTTGCAACGTTGAGGAATTTGCAGTAACTTTTCACAGCGGTGTCTCCGTGCGCAGGTTTGGCATTAATGCCGTTTGTTGAAGCTACGGCCAACCTCGTGACTTCCACGCCCGTGGGCGTTGAGAGAGCTCCCTCGCGCCCGCGTCCCACAGACCCCCCGGTAAGTGGCCTCGGCTCTGGTTTAGCCTGTGACCTTGGCAGCGGTCCTCGCCAGCCTCGGACCGGCGCCTGGGAAGCGCAGAGCACCCTGCCTTCCCCTGGCGACTACAAGCAAGTGGCATTTGCCCGGTCCAGTCAAACTCTTGTCTCCGCAGTAAATTTGAAAATTCTGGGTCAGAGCTGGTCAAAGCCTCTGTATCAAATTCGCTCTGATCCGGACTTTTATTCCAACCAGGTCTGGGTTTACTCATGATCCAAACGAGGCTGAGGCCGTTTGTGCAGTTTTGTATCAGCGATAACAGCATTTCAGCCCTGGCGGCTTTTAGTCTGGGGAAACCAGAAACCTACTGGTGCCACAATCCTCACGCGGTGTGGTTCAGCGCGGAGAAAACCTTTAACCGTGTCTGCTGTTCCTGAAAACCTCAGCTGTTCACCTAGGACTTCAGAAGATAAAAATTTTGAGATAGCCAAATTAATTGCCTGGGTTTTGTGATGAGGACCAGGAACTGCAGGACACCTGGATGGACTGTGAACTGATTAGCGACGGGAACAGATCACAGTGTTTTTCTCAAGGCTGAGGTCCAGATTTGTTTAAAGCCACTGCTCAGTGTTACACCATGTTCTCGCTGTTACTTGAGATACACGAGCACAGCTCCGAATAGGAAAGCAACACATGTTCTTCTTTAATCTTTATTGATTTTTCTTTTTTTTTTACAAGTATAGAATCTCATTTAAATCAGATAGCTATCTCAGCATCCAGCAATCTGCGTATTCCTCCTTCAGAGATGCAACAGAGGACACAAATGTCTCATCGAGGAACGGACTTGCCTTGCTCTCCTGGGGGTCCAGGTACGCTTCAACGAAACCAGTCCCTTCCCATCTGCAGGGAGGGCAGCGACGTCCAGGAGGCAGCGGCTACGCCATGGAAAGGCTTCTCCCACGTCTGGGGCTGGAATCGTTCTCGTCACACACAGAACAAGGCAAAGCCTTCTCCGTAAAGCCATCCTTGTCCGGGAGGTTGAACAGATCGCCATTTTGCGCAGAATAATTCTAGAATGCAGCATAACCTTGAGGATGTAATGAAGTGATTTAGAAATGGGCTAAGGCAGATCACAACCATACTTAGAGCTAAGTAATCAAGCGGATTTACCTACTTCCAATTTACTGGTTGACTGAATATTAGAAAACACAGCCCAGCCCCTTTGGACGGTGGCCATGCACACCGAGTTTCCTAAACATTTCTTTGGCTGTCCAGTGCGGGGAGGGTTAACCTCTCGCTTCTGTCTTGAGCCACATTTGGACAAGATCTCTGTTTACTTTCCACCCACAAAAAACACCAGCATTTTTCAGTAGTGTAGGTGTATTCCAGGACTATTGCCCTGGCATGGAATGAGTGAAAAAGGATCTTGTATTTATTTGATTCGAATCATTCAAATTTTATTTTACTTGTGGCCGACATGGACTGACTTCACTCTATTTTTATTTTTTTTTTAAACTTTTTTTTTTTTTAAACTTTTAATACAGATTAAGAGCTGACTAAAGATCTCAAACACTATATACTGAGAGTCACTACGATGTTAAAGAAAACACTAGCACTAGCACCACACCCCTGCACACCTGCCTTCCTGGCTCTGGGAAAAACCCCTGCCGTAGAGTAGGACCTCGCTCGTTCCGTGCCAGTGCCGCTCCCTAGCCACTACGGGGTTTTGCGAGGAAGCAAACAAGCTATTAACGAAATATCCAGGCTACCGCATCACAAAGCGCACTTTGTTCATCAACTCTGCCAAATGCCTTTTAGGCCTTTCCTCGTAGGATCCTAATAAACTGACTGAAAAAGGGAGGGAGGCTTTATGAAAGGAATAAACTTATAAGGAGACCTCATTCTGCTAAGTCAGAGAAACGGGGATGGGGGAATCCCTGTAGAGAGAAATGCTCTGAAGGGAATCGTTGGCCTTGCAGGTCAGTGAGGTGAGAATTAGTTGAGGTTCTGCTGTATGATAAAGAACCAAAGTTGGCTGTAGAAGGAGAAGGGAATGTCTCCAGTCTGGTCGACTCAGAACAGCGCGTCCCTTCTGTTGTGCTTCCCGTCTGCAGTCCCATTAAATTCCCCAGTAAGGCATCAGGGGTCTCCTCTCTCTCTCATAAACGTCTGGGATGATGCCGTATGGTGTCTGTACCATTTTAACCGTCGTCTTCCCAAAGAGCTTCCTCTCGTAGTCTATCAGTTGCCTCCAGAAGCCCACGTTGGGGCGTATAACGGGGCGTCTCGATTTGACCCAGTTGTACGCCTCGAAGAGGGTCACCTTGTGGTACTTCATCAGGTAGGCGATGCAGAGGGTGGCCGACCTGCTCACGCCGGCGGCACAATGGACTAAGGTGGCCCCGTGCTTCCGCGCCACGCTGTTTATCTTGTCGGCGACGCTGTCGAAGTACAGGGAGATGGGGGCGTTGGGCATGTCAGCCAAAGGCACTTTCACGTATTCAAACTGGGGCCAGTTAAAATTGGGAATCTCGATGGTGGCATTGATTATGCAGGTGATTCCCCGGGAGAGGAGCAGGTGCCGGTTGGAGGCGACGCTGCCCCGGCTCAGGTACAGCGAGGGGGTGATTTGGGCGATGCCCCCGAGGGCACCTTCGGAAAGCATTCGTGGAGCCATCAGAGTTCTCGGTAAGGAGTTGTGGCTTCTGGAGGTCATGGAGGATCTTGGCACTCACGCTTCCATTATGGGAAGAGATCCAACGGGATCTTCAGCCAAGGGAAGGATTGTCTGGCCTGGTGGTGCTGGGTCAGCGAGAGCTTCCTCCGCTTAGTCACTGCAAAACACAAGCAACGCCACGTGAGCGGGGCAGCTGCCCGGTGAGACGATGTCTGTGCAAGAGAAAAGGAAAACCCAACGCGCCCTGCTGTGGCCTGCGCAACCTCCTGCTGGCAAACCTCCGTGGGTAAGGTGGTTCTGGGTTTGCACAGGGCTTATTGCCACGGGGCCCTCGGGCAGTGCCTGGACAGATACTAACAAAAAAAATCTTCTAGCCTAATTAGCTCCAATTACTTGTCAAGGGTTTAGGCAGCCTACCTGTGGGCCCGGACAGCATTTCACCCCGATTAGCACATGGAAGATTGGCTACGCCTTTTCCGTGCTCAAAAGCAGCAACTTCACAACTGGCCAGAGCCCAAAGGGACAGTGAGAAATGGCTCGCTCAGGCTGGATGTCGATGCCAGCAATTTGGATTACCCTGCCCTCTCCCCAACGCCACCTTTCTCCTTTTTTAGGTATACGAAACGCCCCGCCAAAGGACGTGAACAGAGGAAAGTTGCTCATTAGAAAAGGCAGTGAGTCACGTCCATCCAGATCAGTCATCGGCTCTCATCTAGGCTGGGGAAGTGGTTGACCTGGTTATGTCAGAAGCTGGGAGTAAAACCGAAGCAGAGGCTGGGACAAGGGAGGCTCTTTTCCTGCTGCTTTAACGACTGACTAATGCTTTGGAGAAGGACACGCTCTGCAACAGCCTGGGCTCGCCTGCGTGAGCCACGCATCCCTGGCTGCCGCCGCTGCAGCTCCAGGAAGGACCCTCACTTTTATTTCCCCTGCTCCTCTAGGACTTCTCCGAAGCCAGCGGAGAAGCCGCAAGCAAGGGGACGAGCCCCGGAGCATTGACAGTTGCCGGTCCCTCTTAGCTGTGCATTCTCCAGCTAGAGATGGGCCACGGGAGAGGCTCCGGGCAGCGCGGGCTGGGGAGTCCCTGCTCTGCCCGGGTCCCTCTGAGCCCACCGAAGTGTCACTGGGCATCGCGCCGAGGGGATCTGGGGGACGCTCAGCGCCTTGGGTGGGAGGGTGTCTGTCCCTCCAGCCGTTAACTCTCTGGGTCGGAGAGTCCTCAACGGGCTGAGCGACCCCGACTGCTGCGTCCCCGGCCCCGACAGGACAGCGCAGCCGTCTGTCTGCAGCCCGCGCTCTGGGAAGCACCGGCAGGTCTCGGCAACGGCTGGTAACGCTGCCAGCGGATTTTTGGCACGGCTTTGCGGTATGGTAACGTAATGAGCCTAACATCATCTCCTCTGTGGCTTGTTCCCTGCTGGCAGCTACTTGAGCAGCTCCCGAAACCATGGGCCCAAAGTGCCAGTGCTGCAAGAGTTCATGCCCCAACAAGACGATTTCTGCAGCTGTGAGCACTCGGCTTCCCCTGCAGACTCCCCCACCGCAGTCACCCAGCTGGAGCAGCAATGAAAGGCATGTTTTTTCAAAGGACTAAAGTCCTTTGAGGAGGGGAAACCCCTGCTCTCAGATAGATGTTACTGACAACGCAAAGGATTCAGGCACTTACGCTCGGTAACAAACTGTCCTGCTCCAAATCACCGACCGGCACACGGATGCTGTGGGCTGCTGCAGCTGAGCTGTCACAGAGCGTGTCAGGCGCTGAGCTGGGGAGAGAGGAGAGCATGGGGTTTACTGGGAACTGTGCTGGACCCAAAAAAAACCGCCCAAGTTTTAAAGTAATTAACTTTCTCCAACGTCTCCTTTAGCATCCACCAAGACGCTCGCCTAGTCCCAGACGGCTGGGTCAGGTCTGCGTTTCTCCTGACGGTGCCCAAAGCACGCTCCTGGGAGCCCCTCTGCGAGGGGTAATTACTCTGTGAGTAATTACTGCTGGAATTACAGGGGCAAACGAGACGCGGCAGAGC